TCGGTTTCGGAAGGTGGCGAGCCCAGACTAGAGTGTGCGTCGTTCGAAGAAGACATCTTCGATCGTACGGGAATGGTTATTCCCCTCTCTTCGCGTATGAGGCGTCCCGCTTGACTCTCAAAATGCGGCATACGGTCAGCCAGCCCATTAGCCTCCGTAGTTGATGCATCCAACAGGGCATCCTTGATTGTTCGAGGCTGCATATGTTCCTCAGGAGCGTGTGGCTTCCTGGTTTGTTCCATGACTTGACGGACGTCTTCATCGAAAAGTACAGTCTGGGCTTTGATACCAAGATCGTGCAATAAGACAACGCTATTGAATTTCGTAGTTGGAGTGGAAAGACTGTCAGACCGCCGGCGATGGCTTACCCTCCAGATGAACTCTCGCAGAGCAACAAGTTTGAAATCATCTTCTATCGTCATACCTGCATTACGAAGCTTTCGTAGCCATAGCTCGTCTTCCTCGTTTTTTGGTAACCGTTGCAGTACCTTCTGGTCTAGTTCACGCCCAGAAATTGTTGGAAGGCTATCGTCTGATGAACCAAAGGTGAACGTCTGCTGATGCCTAGCTGCGATCCAGAACTGTCCTTTTTGAGATTGAAGTGCCCAGTTTGAAGCCATCTCTAGGAGTAAACGTGACATAGGTAGCTTCAAAGACTCCAGAATTCGTAGCTCAGAGAATTCTGAGGGTATGACTTTTAAATACGGTCGAATGAGGTTGACTAGAATGCTGTGCGTATCGGCTACCGACAGGTACCTAGAGGCGGCCGAGATGAATTGTGCAGCTGCCTCTCGTATCCACAGATTGGGGTGCATGGTAAGTCGGGCAAGGATGTCCACCAGCTCCCAGGTCTTGGAGCGCTGGAATAGGCCAAGCTCTGCCATGGACGAAAGTGCTCGAATAACCTTTTCAACCACAAACTCTTCTGGATCTGTCAATGCCTGAACCATAAGTGGTAGAATGTAACCTTCCAGGCTAGCACCGCCAACGAATACGGCCACGCCCACAATGCCCTCAAAGAACGCACACTTGAGCATCCAATCTGGATCATTCAAATAGGTGTTGAGATGACTGAGGACGACATCATTGGCCCTAGGACTGCCAAAGAAAACGCAGAGGTCAGAGACGGACTTGAGCATGGCTCGACGAACCGCAGCGTCGCTGTCAGTAAGAAGAGCTTTAGTATGCTTCTCGAAGGCTTCTACGAGAATGCGACGGTCCGAGTCAAACTGGTTCCGGTGAGCAGACGAAGACATGTCATCTTCCGTTTCGGGATCTGCAGTGGGTAATGATCCCTCTGCACGCAGAGCTTGGATCATATCCAGATACCTAGCCGCAGTAGTTGCCAATGTGCCAATACAAAAGGCATACTGCATACGAACAAGGGACCCAACGTTGGTAGGATAATCGGGTAGATATGTCTCTAGTCGTGGCAAAACATACTCCGGAAAGATGTAGGCGTTTAAGGGAGAGACGACCTGCACCATAGCAAGGATTTGCGTCAGCGTGCGTAGTGCAGCAATCTTGACTTGGTCGGACTTGTCGACTAGCAATTGGGCCACGTAAGGGATCACTCGGTCCAGCTTTGCTTCGTCTGTCAAGCGCTCTGAGAATGCCAGGAGTAACTCGAGGCCGCGAACACGGGCAGAAGCTCTCGCTGTTCCACGTAGACAAGACACGACAATAGTCAAGAAGACCAAGTTGCCGTCGTCGATAGCTAGACTCCGGGCAGGAGAAGCTTGGTGCTGATAGTTTGGTATGTTGACGAATAGCGGGAAGAGCTTGGCGTTTGGCTTTGGAGGAGAAAATTCTGGTCTAATGAGCTCCTTTCCTTCCTCGTTGGAAAGCAGGTGGGAGATCTTGTCGTAGTCGCTATATATCTGCTCTATACGCTCATCAGGTTCACCAAGATGTTCTGCTCCGGTGGTTACAGGCTTGCGCCCCGACGACGGATCAGTGATTGAGTACATGTACTGTTGCAAAAAGCCATAGAAGTATGTTGGGAATACCTTGCCTTTCCAGTGCGTCAAATAGTCTTCAGCAGTCATGCGTGAATTAGGGTCTACTTGTATCATGTGCAAGATCAGTTCCCGTACGCTAGCATCCTGGATTTTGTTGAGATGGGAATGTTCGGGGTTGTATTCGCCTTGTCGATACTTGAAGAGCTGACTGAGGGAGAAGATGGGTGCTTCCAAGAATAGTTCGGCAATAACGCAGCCGACGCTGAAGATGTCCATGGCCCAATTTACATCGCCCTCGCCTTCAGGTTGCTGTCCAGCAGCCAGGAACCTCTCTGGTGCAAGGTAACAAGTGCGGCGACCGGAGAGGTCGAAGTAGAAGGAGAAGTCGGCAGGGTTATCTTCCGGTAGATGTGCTGGCTTGTACGAGGACGAAAAGTCGGCGAGATACAGCCAATTCCAGGATGTGACAAGGACATTCTCGGTCTTGATGTCGCCATGATAGATGTTCCTGGCGTGGCAGTCTCGTACAGCGCAAAGGAGCTGGAACGAGAGCCATTTCTTCTCTATCTCTTCCAGGAATGGACGTGTACTACATGGTGTTGAATAAGAGACATGGCTGGTAAAGGAACAAGGACGTACCTCAACCGATCGTATAGAGAGCTGTGGATGTATTGGCGTACAAGATAACCGCAAGCAGCTGTCTCAATAACGCGGTGATATGGGATGGCATTGGGCACATCTGCCAGCACTTTGCGTTCATCTTGTAAATGTTAATCAATCAGCTGCGAGATGACGGAGCTTGTACGAAACTCACGGAGTAGCCGTTTGACATGTTCCTGGAAATCAAATTGAGCATATGGTTTCATTACCACTCGGGCTACGACAAGACCGTCCTTGTGGCGCGCCCGTACGGCTTTCATAAAACGCGCAGCCCCCAGCGACTTCTCATACTGGAGATCCGCTAGCTCAGGCACGTCAATGTTGGCTGAACCAGCAGAAAGGGTGGTGAGGGAGAAGCCTTGACCCATGGCAGCGGTTGATGCGCGGGTCTAGTTGTGGTGGTAGTCGTGTTAGGATGTTGGGCAGTGTTGATGCGCCACGACGAACATGTTGAAGGGTGTGATGCGGATCTTTCAGTGTGTATACTCGAGGCAAATTCTCGTTGGATGGAGTCTTGTCAGACGGGATCGCATGCGTAGTGTCTAATTGTACGTTCGCACGCGTCAGGTGCAGCCTTCCAGGTCATCGTTCATCCGTCGCGCCCGCCTTGACACCAACCCCAAAGCGGAAAGGTCACCCGCAGCCCACTTGATCTCGTGCATCGCAACACGTAATGACCGTGTCCCTCCCTCTCTCTCTCTTTGAACACACAATGGCGGAAAAGAAGGAACACGTCGTCTTCTTCCACCCCGACCTGGGCATTGGCGGGGCGGAGCGCCTGGTCATCGATGCCGCAGTCGGCCTCCAGAATCGCGGGCACAAGGTCACCATCTTCACATCGCACTGCGACCCGCAACACTGCTTCGATGAGGCGCGCGATGGTAAGCCTCTACTACAACACCTCGGACCACCCGCCGCCTATGCCTGGCCACGCAGCTGAGACCTGACGCGCGCACAAAGGAACCCTCGACGTACGAGTGCGCGGAAACACCATCGTCCCCTCCACCATCTTCGGCCGCTTCGCTATACTTTGTGCCATCCTGCGCCAGGTACATTTGATACTCCAGATTTCCCTGTTCACCGAAGAACTCCCGAAACTCGCGCCTTCCTCGTTCTTTGTCGACCAGCTCAGCGCTGGCATTCCACTCTTGCGCCTGCTACAGCCCCGCCCACGTGTCATCTTTTACTGCCACTTTCCCGACAAACTACTAGCCAAGAAGGGCGGACTGTTGAAAACACTATACCGTGGGCCTTTTGACTGGCTCGAGAGCTGGAGCACGGGATGCAGTGACACCATTGTCGTCAACAGCAACTTCACCAAGAGCATTTTCGGCGAGGCCTTTCCTGCCCTGAAGCACCGCGAGCCTGGCGTTGTATATCCCTGCGTAGACATCACCGCAGCCGAGTCGGTCGACGAGGTCACGCCGTTGTGGAAGAACAAAAAGGTGCTCCTCAGCATCAATCGCTTCGAGAAGAAAAAGGACGTGGCACTTGCAATTAGGGCATTTGCGGGCCTGTCGCCTAGAGAGCGCGAGGATGCACGGCTGGTCATCGCAGGTGGCTATGATCCTAGAGTGCCCGAAAATGTTTCTACATATACCGAGTTGTGCCACCTGGCAGATTCACTCAAGCTGAAGCACGCGACTGCTAAGACCGTCATCACTGCCCAAGCCATTCCTGACGACATTCCGATTCTTTTCCTCCACTCTGTTCCGAATGCTTTCAAAGCCGCGCTACTACATACCTCGCGCCTCCTTGTGTACACTCCTTTGCATGAGCACTTTGGCATCGTACCGCTAGAAGCCATGTTGGTAGGCACACCGGTCTTAGCTGCTAATGAAGGTGGACCCACTGAAACAGTCATAAGCGGCCAGACAGGTTGGCTGCGAGACGTCACCAAGGTACAGGATTGGACCGAGGTCATGCGCATTGCGCTCGAAGATGGCGAAGGTGAGGAACGGCTGAAAGAGATGGGCAAGTGGGGCAGGGATAGAGTTGTAGCCGAATTCTCCAAAGAGAAGTTGGCTGAGAGGCTGGACACGGAGATCAGTGGCATGATGCAGAAAAGTGTTCGCCCGCCACTGATACCATTTGCCGCAGTCGTTCTAGCTGTAGGCTTGATGGGCGCCCTGGCTGCAGTGAGCATGGTACTAGCTTTGAAACAATAGGCCTGTGTTCTCGAGTAGTCACGAACTATCATCACTTGTCGAATATGTTTCCTTGTTTCCTTGACAATGGCTCCTATGGCTCTAATTCATCCTTCCATTGGCACAGTGAAGCAGAAATACTCTCGAACTTGGCCTCGTTAGGTAGACAATTCGAAAAACAGCGAATGCGGTAGGAGACGTCAAATCACGTGCGTTGAATTTCTATCGTTAACTATTTATTCATTACGGCCTTCACGCTAGGCACTTCATCCTCTTTCTCCAGAATATCTGGCACAGGGCCAATGGGCGTAATCTGGAATTTGTTGATCTGACCATGACTCTTGGTATAGTGCTTCTTGATGTGTTCAAAGTCCGTGGTCTCTTTGAAAGCGGGGTAGTCCTATTTCAGTCATGTTAGTACAACAGTTATGATCCACAACATGCAGATGTATCTGGAGCAGGAGATGCAAAAGATGGGAACATACCCAGTACAAATGACGCATCCACTGATGTAGGAGAGGGTATCCTGATCTAATATCGCGAATGTTGCACTTAAAGTGCTGGACATAGACGGGATCGAAGCGAATGATAGTTGTGAAGAGACGGATATCAGCCTCAGTCACATGTGGGCTTGAAAGAAGGTATGGTGTTGAAGACTTGGACAATGACTCTTCCAGGCGATCGAGAGACTTGAAAAGCTGTGTCACAGCTTTTGTGTAGGCCTCTTCTGTGCTGTACTATTATTAATACGTTGCAGTCAATGTTGAAGGGACGGTATAGGGTAGCATACGTAGCGAACCCTGACTTGTAAACACCATTGTTTACATCGTTGTATACCCAGTCGTTCATAGCCTCGATATCCTTCTGGAGATCTTTGGGAAACAAATCCACCTTCTTGTACTTCTCCTCGATGATGTCGTCAAACTCGGTGTACAGCATCCTGATAATCTCGGCGCTCTCGTTGCTGACAATCTTCTTGGCTTTCTTATCGTAGAGCGTTGGTACAGTGAACCGACCCTCATAGTCTGGGTTCTGCTCAAAGTAGATGTCACGTAGATGCGTGTATTCATTGTGGAGTGGGTCTGGTGTTGTGTTGCCTGAAACCTGCTCATCGGGGGTTGCGAATCGCCAGCCTTTCTCCGCCATGTGCCAGTGTACACTGTTATAGGAGATGATATCCTCGAGGCCCTTTAGATGACGGACGATGAGTGTGCGGTGGGCCCATGGACAAGCGTAGGAAACGTAGAGATGGTATCGGCCTTTCTCGGGCGGAAACTCAGCACCGGGTTTGTTCTGAATCCAATTCCTGAAGACGGACGTTTGGCGTTTAAACTCGCCACTCTTGTCACCAGGTTTGACCTGTTGTCGCAATCAGTATGCCGATGCTGGGTCTGCCGCCCGTTCGATACCTAAGGAATAGAGACTAGACTGCGTGCTTGCGACAATCCTCTCTTCATGGGCACTTACCCAATCAAGGATCGACCCCTTCCCATCCTTGCTATCTTGCTGAGGCGCTTTGTCCATGGCTGCGCGGCTTGATGTTACGATAAAAGGTCGTGTATGTCGTATCGCAAAGGAAGAACGTTTCGAGATTACCCTGAGCCGCAGTGTACGAGAGAACATGGAACGGCGACTTGAAACTATATGAGCAAACGTTGTGGCTATATAGCTGTCATTGAAAGCTCGCAGCTATACTGAGACGGAGACGTCATAGCTTTTCTTGGTTCCGATTTGGTGGGGCGCGCTTTCCGAGGGTGGAGTTTACTCAGCATTTGGAAAGCTTGACTAACGTCCGCCGTGACAAAGCATTTCGTGATAATGTTCCGCTTTGACTGCAAACGCTAGGCATCAAGTCAGTGCGTATCGAGCGGGCTAGAAAGGCCATTGGAATAGAGAATTACTATCACGAAGGTGGAAGGACGCTCTGAATTTGATGGGTATCTATTGCTTTTGCCTGTTCGTCCAACGTCTATATGTATAAGACCTTGTGCAAAAACTTGTTACGCCTTAACCATATTATACACAGTAGCCTGCCCACAAACTTCATTCTATCCTACACAAGTAAATCATCTCTGTGTCTGTATGCCTCAGAGCAGGGCGGCGCCTACGTTTCCTAACGTCTGTTTCGTCACATCGTCCCGTACCTTGCCCACTTTCTTGGCTGAGTCAAGGATAGCCCCCTCAATGGCCTTGAGAGCTTCGACGAGCTCACGGCGCTGATCACGGGGCGCGCTTCGGCTGCCAGTCAGTTGTTCAGCCTTCTCCATCGTGCCAGCCTCCATCGTTCGTAAGTGTGCTTCAATCTCGCGGATCTGGCGCTGGTACACATCCAGAGTACTGCCGAGCTCATCAGTACGGCGGTTGAAGTAGCCCATCAGGTCAACAGGCTTTGTCGGGTCGTCATCATCCAGAGCGCTTGTTGCGGGGGCCTTTGTGCTTGAAGCTGTAAGGTTGGCATTATTGCGGTAATGAAATTGTGCTGGCAGCCGTTGATTTTCGATGGCACGGAAGCTGAGAGTCGCGTCGTCGGCGTCTTTCTTGACAAGATTTTTAAGGTGTGCAATGTTGGCAGAATCGTTGTCCAGGCCAACTTCGACGGTGGAGAGGATGGTCTCGATGTATGCTACGTCAGGCGCGATAGTGGAAATGTCGCCCTCACTGCCGGGAAGAGCCTCGCGGATCTGGTTGCAGTAGTTGACCTTGCGCTGAATGCCGTCGTCGAATTGCTGAATGAGGTTTTGTATTTCGGGGTGCAAGTCGTTGAACCGCGTAGTTCCTCGTATCGAGTCTAGGGTCATCTGCACCGGCTGTGCGCTTGAGCTCATCTGGGTTCCTCCAAGCGTACAGCCACCAAGTGTATTCGACCTGTTTTGTGTGTTGGTGCCACCGAAAAGACTGTTCTGTTGCTGTGGCTGAGCCTGCTGTTGGGTCGAACCGAAAAGCGACGGGGTCGATGTTTGGTTTTGCTGAGTGGATGTGTTGTTTCCGAATAAAGAGGGTGTTGTTGTCTGTTGTGTTGAAGAGGCGCTAGAAGATGCAATTAGCCCTTGTGTCACAACGCATAGTCCTCGTCACTTACAACAGCGACGGCTTCGACTGGGTGCCTCCGAATAGCCCACCGGATTGGGGCGCGTTCTGCGTCTGATTTTGAGTATTTCCGCCCAACGCGCCGCCGAACAAGCCTCCGCTCTGGGGCTGTGTTGGTTGCGCTGTAGATGAGCCAAAGAGTCCTCCGCTCGCCGGCGCTGTCGTCGCAGGCTTGTTCAAATTGCCAAAGAGGCTGCCGCTTGAGGGCTGGGAAGTCTGGGTTTGGCCGCCGAAGAGCGATCCTGACTGTGCTTGTTGTGGTTGTTGGGTAGACCCAAAGAGCCCTCCGCTGCTCTGAGGCTGGCTTGCCTGCTGCCCTTGGTTCGCATTGTTTCCGCTGCGAGAGTCAGTCTAATGCATTGATATGGCGCCATTGCCAGCAAAACTGCGACGCGCGCATGAAGCACGGCAGTAGCACTCGTATCGCTTGAGTATGAGCGTTTGACGGAGGATGGAGAAGCACTTACAACAATCCACCCCCACCAGTATTGATACTCAACGAGTTTGAGCGCCCAAATCCTGCCATCTCGTGCGAGTGTCCCTAGCTATGTTTGGTAGCTTCGTTGTGTAAATGCAGTCGCTTGCGAAAGATTTACAAGGACAAGGTTGCAGCCGCGAACAAAGTCTACCCGTTGAGAAGCCCGTAGAGATTATAACGAGACGGCGAGAGAAGGCCTGGGAGAATGCGCGTGGTTAGAGGTGCAAAGGTTGCGCCCGGAGGTGACAAGCAACGTCTGCGTCTGTTTGGCTGCGCGCCAGCAACAAGCACAGGCCCGAACGCGTCCACTCTACTCGGCTAATCATTCCCTCATCCAGCAACTCAAAGGAAGCTCAGGTTCGTTAGCAGTGGCATTACTACGAGGGTCGTTCAAGACACGACTTCTAAACCTTGTTTCACTCTCGACAACAAAAACAAGCAAAGCAGAGGACTGAACGCTGGCCTAGCTTCTTCTCTCAAACAAGCACTCCAGAGTGCTGGATACATAGTAATTCCCTGGAGGATCTCAACTGCCGGGGACGCGCTCTGCGACTTGTGGACCAAAGAGAACGACAAAATGGCAGACGAATCTGACGACGATCTCTACGGAGACGAGACTACTACGCAACAGCAAAAGGATGCGAAGAAAGAGGAGGACGACTCTAGTGGTGACGAGCCCATGGATGAAGAGTCGGGCGACGAGGAAGAAAGCGACTCGGTACGCTGCACCGGAAGCCTGCCAAAAGCTAGCTGTCATTCTAACGAAGGTGTAGGATATTGATATCATTATCGAGAAAGCGCCAGCGCCTCCCAAACCCGCAGGGTAAGCTTCAAACAAGCTTCAAACAGCAGTTCATGCACTGACAAGCCCGTCCAGCACGCAGGCCCCCCCAGAAAGCAAAGCCAAAAAGATCGAAGCCCCCCCCGCCTCATCCACTACTCCCTCGCAACAGGGAGCCCCCAAAACTGTTCCCACCACCGGCGGCACTGTGCCCCAACTGTCCGCCGCAGCCCTTTCAGGCGCCGCCTTCCCCGCACAACGCACCTCTACTATCGATGTGAACGGAAATCCTGTCTACCCTCCTCAAGGCAAAGAGATCCTCAGTGTGGACATTGATGCAGATCTAGCTGAAGAGCAAAAGATCTGGCGCCGACCAGGTGAAGACCAGTCAGATTACTTCAACTACGGTTTCGATGAGTTTACTTGGGAATTGTACAGGCAGAGACAAGTCAGCATGGCCAACACGCTGCAAGGTCAGAAAAACGACATGGCACAGATGCAGGCTATGATGGGCGGTGGACCGATGCCGGGTATGCCTGGTATGGGCGCTGGCCCACAGGGCAACGGTGGACCAGGCGGTGCGCCGCCAACAGGGCCTGGAGGTGGTGGTAATGCTATGGGACCTGGAGGTATGAATGAACAGCAGATGCAGATGATGATGCAGGATATGATGGCGCAGGGAATGGACCCCAGCCAGATGGACTTTGCATCCTTCATGCAGATGGCTGGCCAGGGCATGGGTGGCTTCGGTGGTGGACCTGGCGGCCAGCAAGGCGGAGGCTTCCAACAAGGTCATCAAGGCGGCGGAAGAGGTGGACGCGGAGGTAGAGGAAGGGGATGGTAGCACGGTGAAGACGACTCCATATCTGATCGGGATAACAGCGCGGGAAAGGGTCGATTTATGATGGTACATGGCATCACGGCGTTCTGAGTGTATTACTACGATACCACGGGTGGGGACAGCCTCATAGCGCAAAGCAGTCTGTTTTAATTTATACAGATCAATCTACTTCCAGCTCGAGCGCTTCACTACATAGGCCTCCATGTTTGTGGTAGAGTCACCAGGTCATCCCGTGGATATTCCACTGCATATTCGCTCCTTGAGAGCCACACGCGGTGCAAACCAAACCTTTATGCGCCTCACAATGGTCGTGCGCCTCCTTGTTCCCCTGTAGGCGTGGGGTTTCGCGCAGTCGCGAGCTGTACTGTCTACCTGCTTTACATGTTTATGTCACTATCCAGACTCTTAGCGATATAGTCGCTATGTCTCCATAGGTTCTCCGCCTTGAAGGATATGTGCTGGTATCCGTCCTTCAGCGAAATCCTTCTCCAGCCGTGCCATTTCCGCCAGACTGCTCGCGTTGAGGATGGCAGCGCGCATGCGCTTCTTCTCTTCGTCGGTGTAGATACGCTCTTTACCCGAGTCGGCACCGTTTGTGAATGTGGGGACAACAAAACCTTTCGACTTGTTGCTGGAGATCTGGCGGAATCAGTATCTGATCAGAGGCAGAAGCAGTGTACATGACATACCTGGTTTGCAAGCTCGGTGGGCTCCTCTGCAGTTCCAAATAGCTCCTTGGCCGTCTTTCGTTCAGCATCGCGTACTTTGACAAAGTCTAGGAATCGCACAGTAGGGCAGCGCCAGATGACCCAATACCGGTAGTTCTACGCCACGTTAGCATCCTGCACATTATAGTCTACTGTCATGCGATTTCGAGCCGGCCAAATCGCACCAAGGGGCTCACCCTGCATCATCTCCGCTCCTCGGGCTCAAGTGTGCTTGCACAATTAGGCTCGAAGTATCATGGTTCAAGGGATTTGGTACGTACCTCTTTACGTGTGACGGGATTCCCCATCAATGAAAGATAGACCAAATGCTTGAATCCCGCCAGCGGATCCAAGTCCGCCAGCTCTGCAATCTTGTTCTTGGTGAGAACTAGTGTTCGCAGATTGGGTATGCTCGAGGAGAGGTTCGGTTGGATGTTGGAGATGCGGTTCTGCGCGAGGAAGAGGGTTCGGAGACGAGGCTGGAGGGGGAAATTGCCGAGCTGTGCGATGTCGTTGTCTGTGAGATCTATGGCGTCGTTGTCCTGCAACCCTGTTAACATACTGATGCAGGTTAGGTGGCTTGGTCGACTAACTCTGGCTGCTCCCATGTTCTCGATAGCCGAAATCTTGTGACCTATATTATACGATATTGATATCAACTCAGCTCTCAAGTGTAGTATCTGTTCTTTCCAACGCACCTCGCAGATCGAGTTCACGCTCCGTGAGACAGTTGATGAAAGAGAGGGAGTTGTTGATCAGGTCTGTCGTTAACCTCATTTTGGCGATTGGTGATGGTTGATTGGTTTCTGGTCAAATGGACAATATTAGAGGTTTCAACGTGCTTCGGTATCGTCTGTCCTTTTGCGCGGGTTTCGAAAGTTGGTCGCGAAGTTGGAGCTTGTACTGAAATTCGTAGAGCGCCAAGGAAGTTCCCACTAGCGCGACTTCCAGCTCCTGGTCACTTCCAGACATCGTCCTTCGACCCCGCTCCGCCATGCGAGCAATTATCCTTGTTACATACGCGCTGGTTTTATCATAGCAGACCAAGAGACTGCAGGCCGACTCGGGATATGCGCTGACGAGTAGCGTTTTGCAAATTGAACTCCATATCTTTAGAACACGTCTGCCGCTGTCAGCACAAGTGTACCCAGGCAACGCATCGTTTCTTCTACATACTAGCCTTCTTCATAATCGATAAACAATCTTCCCAGCATGGCTCGGATCATATTGTAACTCCCTGATTGGACACGCTCCTCTGAGTATATATATGCCAGTCACACATGGCCGTTTTCCACAAGGCTGGACTCAAAGAATCAGCAGCCACACTGTCTGATCTCCACTGCCCGGCAGACCGGTGAATGCACCGTTAGAGCCTCGTCTCTACTCTCTCATAGTAGTTTTGTCTTGTTATTTGTTCCATTGGCTCTTCAAACCCGTGTAGTCCACGATTGGATCGCTGCCATCCGGTGAACAATGCAAGCCATCAGGACCAGTAACTGTGCAGCCTGACACGTTTCGTTGCGGCTCGACATGATGTATAACATGATAGTTCGGCGCTCCCAAACTACTTTTCGATTCATCCTAGCCTCATCACATCTTGAATCGACTTAACATGGCAGCATGCACGATATGCAGCACTTGGATCAGAGGTCCCGGAAATCGATGCACGCAACACCGCTACGTCAGAAATAGATACGATGACTATAACTACAGTAGTGACTCGACGAATGCTCGCAGCGCCCGTCACAGTAGGGGCACAGGCACTCGTCCATATCGTTTCTCAAACAACCAGGACATATATGGACAATACGATACCAGCAATGCTCTCGTACGTCACAGAATACACAGCAATGCACACCGGTCCAGCTCTCATCCCAATGAGCTAGCAAAACCTCTTGTCCATGTTTTCGATAGATTCAGCAACACGCATGCCGTCGCATCCGTGCAATACTCCGCGAACCCATCCTCTGGAAGTTACTCCATCTCAGCCCAGGCAAATCTCGATCGCGAACAATGCACCAACTGTCGTGAATGGTTCCCAGATGGTCTCAAGCTACAGTACCATCAACAAGAGTTCCCAATCGAATGCGAGCAGTGCAACATATGTCTGAGGTACGATAATATAGCATACCATGCAACGAACGTCAAACATGAGAGGTGTTTCGTGAGAGGATGTGAGAGTGATTATAGGACAGTGGGCAACTGGAGGCATCGCTACGTCGAGAGACATGTGTTGGGCAGGCACACACAACAGAGTTATCATTGAGAGAGCACGAATGTATACCGGGTCGTGTTGACGGACTCGGTTTAATTTCCGCAGATCAGACTGCGGACTTATGATGCTATGACTAGAACGAGGGTTACATCTGATGTGGATAACTCCCTCTTGAGTGTTCTCATTTATTTTACCTGTGTTTCGAGATAGTTAACTCGTGCTGGTTTGACAGTATACAAACTGGATATAGCAGCAGTGTTGAATAGAGGCGAACATGGCGAAGACGGTAGTAAACATAGCCATGACTTAATACGCAGTGATGTGACCGATGTCGATCTCATGATGGTTCAATCTTACCTGGTGTTTTTGGCCGAGGTAAAGTGGATATCGTGATGGATGTTTGAAGAACGCTTTGAGTTTGGTTTCGAGACGGCCATTCATCCGCAGAAGAAATGTCAAAGACTTTAGGCAGAACCTGTCTACGACCTAGAATACATCGCTCAATCTCGGTCATGCTTGTGGGTTGACGTAGGATCCAAAAAATAATGGACTAGGCATGCAAAAGAAGGAAATCTTGTTTCGGTGATGCTGACACTTCCTATCGACGAAAAATCTCTACCTGCCACATGTCCCTAGGTTACGAGCCATGCAGCTGAGTGCCACGCATTGAATATGCTCAGGTGGATCTTGACGGATGCAAGTTGCGTCTGAAGATTACGAAACAATCGGGGTAGAACGGCCATGTAATGATATATACTGCACCATGCGCCATGTGTCCAGAGAGGAAGAGATCGACACGTACTGGTGTTTATGGGGTAAAGCTGAGGCGAGACTCCGAGTGTCCTTGTATTGCTGGAACTCGTCGCCGGTATCGGGTGACGATCGTGCAGTCCGCCTTTGGTACGGGGTGATGCATAGTGAGGCGATCTAGGATAGACAGATGCGTCTTGTTCCAACGAAGTCATACCGAGCGTTTAACGCGCAAACAGAGGCGCCCAGCGGAGTGTCGAGCGAGTCTTGGATGCCACCACACCGCTTATTGTGCTGAGTTGGTATTATCATGAGTTGTATAGACAGGCTATAGAAAGTACAATCAAGATGCGGTTTACTGGCTGAGCCTTTCTCGACTCACTGGGACGTGAGCTGACATGGTTACACGATGTCGATAAGTATCCGTTGAGTGATGCAGCCCATGGCAGTACCGATAGTGATCTATTGTTTGCTGGGCAATGTGCTTGTTCCAATGGAAGAGCGAGGTAAGTGGCTTCCGTCTGGGCTGATAGGCACCCGCGGAAGTGGTCCGACACAGAGCAAGTTGTTGATATCGAAAGTGCGGGTTGGCGCGCGTCAGCCTGTCAACGAGAGGCGGAGGATTGCACCAGGACGGTTTGGAACGACATGCATATCATGGTCTGGGGTACCCCGGGAGATGTGCAGCCGTAGTCGTTGATGACTGACGGCGGGACGTATGGCACGACGATGGACAAAGGACAATGGCGCGCTGTCGACGCGAAAGCCTATGGCCATGTCGTGAAAGCGAATCTTGGTCCCACTTGTCGGACGTGTGACGATGAGAATTCTTGGGTGGAGACGTGGTGGAGGGGTGATGTGCGCCGTGGGTCGATCTTGTTCACGATAGTCGGGAGTCGTCTCACCGCCCTTCTATAACTAAGCAGCAACCGGCGTCGACTAAACCCAAACACTAGCAGCGAATCCACTACGTTACAGCGCGCTCCCCTCACTAACCCACGCGACACGCTTCCTCTCTCTGCTGTCCAAGCACCCCGCTGCTGAGGCCTGTCTGGCGACTGCTGCCTCCTGTACCGTGCACAAAGTCACCTTGTGACGCCATCACCTTCACCCCCATCCGTCCACGTCGCCCGCCCTCACCCGCCCGCAAGAAAGAGACGGTCCCTCTGCTGCCCCACGCAAAGCCCGCCAGCCGCAGCAACAACAACAAAAACAACAGGCGCCCTCCGACTGCCATGGGTCAACCAGCACCTCGCACTGCTCGAGCCCGCCCAACCCACGACGCCTCTCTCGCCCACTGCTAAGACGACGGGCGCGCTTCCATGGAGGCATGCGCCCACTGCCAGACATGATCGGACACCTGTTTAGCAGCCGCAAGGGCAGCAGCGCGTCTCACGCGCCGCCGCCGCCGACGGTGCTCGACTCGGCGACAGAAGAGAGCCACACGCGCCATCTGCTGTATCCCGAGTACAACACGCTCTACCACCCCGAGGGCCAGCCGTATCCCTTGCACGCCGCGCCCTTGACCCCAGGGAGCGGCCATGATGGGCCCCTGCCGGAGATAGACCTCGACTACCCGCGCGACTGCCGCATCATCATCGCCCAGGACGAGACACCCGCCATGCCCAAGACCATCCTGTTCGACTCCAAGCCTGCCCCACCACGCGTCGACGCTCCCACATCGCCCAACCTCCGCACCCGCGCATTTGGCGCCGCCAATGCCAGCAATGCCAGTACGCCAGCGCCGACGTTTGGGGGATTGCATGCCCGCACATCGTCGCTCGTCACAGAGCCCGCCGCGCCACCACGCTCGCCCACGGTCGGAGGCTTCACGCGCATACGCACCCGCGGCAGCTCCATATCCTCCATGCCCAACATCGACGAGCACGCCCAGGTCCAGGCCAAAGCACAGGCAAGGGCCAAGGAGTCAACCGACCTGGCCAACATCTGCCTCGACTGCATGTTCGGCAACCTGGCCATGAACTACCGCGGCAACTCCAACAAGATACACATTGTGCCGCTCGACACAAAGCCAGCCGACTCGTCGTTGCTGAGCACCAGCGTCCAGGACGCTACCAACTCTCTTGGTCGCGCCGAGGGCCTTCGCAGAAGGAGCCATCTCGCCAAATCCTTCACACCCGCCAACCTTCCAACCGACCTACCCCGCGCCGACTCCAGTGAGGGCGTACCGAAGGAGCCCAGGCGGCGTACCATCTTCATCACGCGCATGTTTTCAGTCACTGTGCCGGAAGAGGAGCACGATGATCGCACCCCCACCCCGCAGAGCTCACTGCCAAAAGGCAATGGCTTCCCCTTCCCCGCACCAAACACGAAACCAGGTGCCCCCAAGGCACCGTACCCTTCGCACGTGCGAAAGAGCCCCATGTATGCCATCACCATCATCCTCCACCTTCCCATATCAAACACATCTCCCAGCGTGAGACCCTCTTCTCGGAGCGCCAATGCCAGAACGCCGGTGCACCTATCTACCTCTGCTCCTGGGCAGGACTCGCTTGGTTCTTCTTTGGACTCGGAACGACGCGCAGGATGGGCCTTCATCGACTCCAATCTCGGCGTTGATTCACTTCTATCCTCGTCGCTATGTAGTGATGTCGATGACCGTGTCGATGTCGTAGGGCAACACTGGGACGTCATTATGCGTGCTCTCAGTAGCCTACAACACGTGGTACAGGAGAGAATATTGGCCCAGTTCAAGGCGCCTCGGTCGCCAGAAGGCATGCCTACGCCTACAGCTCACCATCAGCGAAACCAGCCTTCGCGGGCTAGTCTTCGCGACACTTCTCTCCACGCC